GAAGATTAACAGAAACAGTAGTGCACACTTTGTAAATAGTTGAACAGTGTTGAGGGAATTATTTGTTTAGCAGAGTGATGGCTTTCGGGGAAAAAACTGTTCTTGTGTCTAGTTGTTCTGGTGTGCAGTGCTCTATAGCGTCATTTTGAGGGAAGGAGTTGAAACAGTTTATGTCCGGGATGTGAGAGGTCTGTAAATATTTTCACAGCCCTCTTTTTGACTCGTGCAGTATACAGGTCCTCGATTGAAGGCAAGTGGGTAGTAATTGTTTTTTCTGCAGTCCTAATTATCCTCTGAAATCTGTGTCTGTCCTGTTGGGTTGCAGAACCAAACCAGACAGTTATAGAGGTGCAGATGATAGACTCAATAATTCCTCTGTAGAACTGTATCAGCAGCTCCTTGGGCAGTTTGAGCTTTCTGAGTTGGCGCAGAAAGAACCTTCTTTGTTGTGCTTTTTTGATGACATTTTTGATGTTAGTGTCCATTTTAGGTCATGTGATATAGTAGAACCTAGAAATGTGAAGGTCTCTACTGTTGATACTGTGTTGTCTAGTATTGTAAGAGGTGATAGTATGGGAGGGTTTCTTCTAAAGTCTACCACCATTTCTACGGTTTTGAGTGTGTTCAGTTCCGGTTACACCACAAGGCAATGTATAACCTCCTGTCTGTATGCAGATTCATCGTTGTCTCGAATGAGACCAATCACTGTTGTATCATCAGCAAACTTCAGTATTTTAACAGATGGATCATTTGAGATGCAGTCATTGGTATATAGGGAGAAGAGAAGTGGAGATAGCACACAGCCTTGGAGGACCCCTGTGCTGATTGTAGAGGTATCGGATGTGATTCTGCGTAGCTTCACCTGCTGCTTCCTGTCTGTTAGGAAGCTTATGATCCACTTACAAGTGTGTTCAGGTACCGCTAGTTGGTTTAATTTACTTAGAAGAGTGTCTGGAATGATGGTATTGAATGTTGAACTGAAGTCTACAAAGAGGACCCTTGCGTAGGTATTTGGAGATTCGAGGTGTTGTCGGATGTAATGCAGAGCCATGTTAACAGCATCATCTGTCGATCTATTTGCTCGGTATGGAAACTGCATGGGATCTAACAAACTGGCATCAGTGTGTACATTTCCAATTTCCCAGGCTCTTGAATTGGTTTTAATATATTGTTTAGCTTATGAATGACTGCCCTAATGCTGCTTTGTTTCTATGGTACTTTCATTTTGTAGTTCAATCAATTAACTAAACTTTATTACAACCTGTCTTTTATTTGATTGTAGTATATATGCTTTTATTCAGATTATATTTTAATGTGTTGTATTATAAAACAACTAAGATGTTTAGTTATCGGATGGTTAAGATATTTAATATATCTTATTTTGTTCTTTGTCTTACCAACAACAGCATCCTTGACATTCTATCTGGCTAATAGTTAAGACAGCTTTTCTTGGAGAAGGTCTTAGATTTAGTTATTTGAATGTTCAAAAGATACACATTTATGCTGAAAAATAAGTTGAGCAATATGTGTGTTGACTGTCATGATCTGGTACCAAGTCTGATTTTGAACAAAAGGGAACAGCAGTGCCTACTTGATTTTGGAAGATCTCAAAACAGCAAAGTAGAATCAGAGCTGGAAAGGATTTGAGTAGAAGGCATCCAAAGGCTATAACAGTCTGGGAACTTGATAAAACATTCCTGAAGTCACCTCTGTCTTGCTGACAAGAAAATGTCATGGTTGTATACATGTAGTCATGAGCGGTTTTGTGAGAGTTTATCCTTTCTTGCCTGATACTAAAAGGGTTTTAATGAAAACCTCACGTTTTTATTCTTTTTTAATATTACATTCTTTTATTTCTCAAAATACAAAAAGCATTTTATTCTTAATCTTACCTTTATTCATTTTTTCTTATAGGTTTTATGAGTCAGTGTTTGGATACAAAACATAATTTTTGTGTCAGTTACAGTACTGTTTACCCCTAGGGCTAAATGTTTGGTGGGCCAGAAGTTACAAGGCTTTGGAAGGGGAGTGATGCCCTGAATGGATATAGCTGGTCCATGGTTGCCTCATTTTTTTCTCCAATGTATTGGGGGGATAATTTTTATTTTCTCATCTCCCCGCCCTCCCCATGTCATATATCAGGGATGTCCAACCATGGTAACTATAAGACTTGTGGACTTCAACTCCTCCTGAGAATTACTCAGCCAGCTTTCACTATAGCTTTCATGGTCCCTGTTTCCAAATGTAATGAATTTGTAGGCTACACCTGGATCTGAATTTGTATCATTACAACAACAATAAGGTGACTAAATTCACCCGGTTTTGTTCGACTCCTCATGTTTGCCAAACCATTATGAGATATTAGCATTTTTACAGGGTACAAACATCTGGTTTGGAGGACCTGTTTATTTTAATGTATTTAGATGCCAGTTTGTGTTTCCTTTTTATTATTTAATACTTGTTTGAACAACCTGCACTGACAATGGTGACAGACCAGATTTTCTACAGTATAACTGAATGTTTTTATACTGTTCCGGTTCTCCCCTTCTCTTTCAAAACTGTTATTTCAAATGGCAGGATGCAAGATTCCATGTTATTTTTGTTTTTACCTGTTGGCTTCCTCTTCTCTGTTCCTAAGCTAGCATTTAATCTGCTACAGAGTTTCAGGGGCAGCCAAGTTATGTGCAACATGAACATTAGCATTAAAATGCTTTGAAATGGCATGGGAAGCAACTGGCATTAATTGAGAAATGTCTTCAGATGACTTCTGAAACCTATTAGTTTGCCTGGACACTTTAAGCTGGTTCAGTAAAGAGAGTCAATATGCTTTTAAAATGTCAGATAATTGTAATCAGAATACAGCTGTTGCCTATGTAAATTTCAGGAACATCTGCCTTGGTTATCTTAACATAGTAGAATTTTCTTAGTTTTACTAATCGATGGAAAGAATCCAATATTGTACTTCAAAATGCTGAATGTTTTGCCCTTTTTCTAGGGCCTTAATTTACACTTGCTTTCCTCGTACTGGCTTTTAAATCAGAGAGACCTTTTCAAGACAGCTCTGTCAGGAAGAAAAGAGAAGAATAGATATAATCTAACAATGTTTTTTAAAAGAGTTAACCAACGAACACTCTATCATTTCATGTAGCAATAATTGTATTACTACATACTCATAAGTATTCTTTTCATCCTGGACTCTTTCTTCTCCTCTGTTTGTTTGCTGCTTTCAGACTGTAATTCTACTCTATTAGGAAATACCTCTTGTGCATAATCTGTGAAGTTCTTTATGCTAATATTGTATTAGGATTATGGTATAAAATGTTAGTAGCACAATTTACTTGATTTTAGACTTTTTTTTGCCCACTGTAGTTTGCATTCATGTTAATAAAACATCTATGGACCCTTACAATAATGTAGCAAAAAGCAATAAGCACTCGTTTCAAATTATTCCCGGGATATATGAAAAAGTCCCAAATTGTGGGGTTACTTGTCCATTCAGACTCACTATATCTATCTATCTATCTATCTATCTATCTATCTATCTATCTATCTATCTATC